TGTTTGGAAAAAAAAGGATAATCCAGAGTGTTACCTTCTTTTTCTGGGTCTAATATAGTACATAATTTTGATCCTAAAAAAGGAAGATTTAAGGGTTAACCAGAAGCTCTCCAAATTAACAGATCTGAGCTTTGTACTGAGGTGAATTGCCTACAGCATCACGCTGCTGAGTAAGGCTGGGCACACACCTTACAACCATCGCAAGACTTTTGTTGTGCGATGGTTGTAAGGTACTTAAAAAAACGTACGATCTGCCTATCTTGCATAGGCAGATCGTACTTGCGATGATCGCAAGCCACGCCCCCTGAGGGACGGGCTTCCGATGATCGCAATGCCGAACGGGCAGTGTGCTCTTGCGCACATCGGCCTGTACGGCTGTTATCGTACGGACATGCCACAAACCCGGGTTTTCGAACATGTCCGTAAGTTTAAAGTCGTGCGACCTTACAGTAGTAGAGGTCGCACGGCTTCCACACACCTTACGATAATCGTACGATTCCGGGATTTCCCGCGATTATCGTACGATTATCGTAAGGTGTGTGGGGACCTTTAGAAAGTACTTTTGGTAAAATGTATTTTGTAATAATTGATAATATTATTCAACATGAGAAAGTTGGTCTCACTTGGATTGGCTTGCTCTGGAGGCTGAAATAGAATACTCACCTCGGAAAATCTTCCTTTTTTTTTTGAGTTTTTGTTTCACTTTTTCCAGTTAAACCTTTTAGATCTATATACAGTTCCAAAAACTATTATGCAAAAAGGCTGAAGTAAAGCTTGTGATGCTGTTTGTAAATCTTTGGTATGACAGATAAGTAGAACCTCACTGGAACAGAAAGCAACAGTGTAGCCAGGATCTATTTCTTTAAAGGTACTGATTGTTGAAGGAATGCATACGCACACCTTTCGATTGATGCAACCATCAAATTCCACATCTTCCCTCATGCTGCATGAATATATCAGACTTGGTAAGAAAGGAAATTGTGTCTAAAATAAACAATTCTGTTCACCGCTTATCAGACTTCTTTTAACCTCCTGTCAATTAAACTCTGCTCTATTCAGATCTTTCCAAAGGATTTACAGCATCCTGAAATAGTGTATTGCATCAAATGACATTAATGTCAACCAAGTAAATCTGAAGCATTTGTCACTGGGTTGACGATAAAAAAAACCCTCTAATTTCTTAGTTGGATAACCATTTTTCCAAATAAGTCGTGATTTTTACAAGTTTCCACATTTAGCTTATTCCCATTTCACTTGCTTCATTTTTCTGCAAGAGCAAACTCATTCTGTCTGATATGCTGGAGTGCATAGAAATTTAACACAACTGACAGCATATCAGGTCATCACATACAACATACTAGAACTTCTCCACTGCTGTCATTTATATATCTGCACATTTATGCTGGACTATCCTTTGTATCTTAGTTTGTACATTTTACTTCTGAGACCAAGTTACCCTTCTGCACTGGTTATATTACTAGGGTTTGGCAGCTGTTTTAAAGGCAAGCAAATGTAAATGTGTTGTCACATAGGATGAACAATCTCCTTAAATAGGAACAGCTAGGAGTTTGAACTGGTGTATGAGAGAAGAATTGGAGTGCCAATATTATTAGGTAAGTAATAGCTTTTCCTTGCACATTGAAAAGGGGACCTACAAGTCAACAAAACATGGGTAATATTTGTGTTTCAGCTGATTACATGGTAAAGTCTTTTTTTCACACCATAATAATTACTGGAGTACATACTATTCTGATTATTTTTTTTCTGCAATGAGAATGAATAGCAGCAATTAGATTAAAATGTATAAATATTACAGTAATACGTTTCTAATAATTAATTTTTGCTGTGTCATTGTAATAATATAAAAAATAAAAAGGCAGAACTTGCATCAAGCCATTTATTGGAGGAAGGATTTCAGGAATTTCAATTGCTCTGCTAAGCTGATGACACCATCTATTTTATGTCCCACGTCTTCAACAGAAGAAAAAAAGCTCTGTAGAATTCAACAAACAAGTCTATAAAGCTTGGGAATAAGACCCCTAAACAGCCGCAAAAATAACCTTAACAGCAGCCTCAAAAGCTTTCTCATGGTGAATAAACACATTAAGAGGCATATCTTTTGCTTGGAGCAGTACAGAAAAACAAGTTCTGATCAGCTGTAAACTCCCAACTCAAAAGTGTTTTGCAAATGAATTGTGTGTGAGCAATCACTTTTCCCACAGTGTCTTGAAATGGATCTCAATAGGACTGCTTAACAATGGCATCTTATGTAATTCAAATGTTTACCTAAATTGAGAGAATAAAGTACATGTTTGTTTAAAGATATATTTTAAAGTATGACACATGAACTAAAGTGCAAAGTATTTCTAAAAAAAATTGTTTTCTACTTCACTGAGAAACACAGCTTATTTTACAATGTGTTTGTATTGAAGGCATTTATATTGATGCGATTGGTAATATCACAAAAACATTTTTTTATAGACTACTGAAAGCTGCCAAAATTAAGGCCAGGAACAGAAGGTAGGGAGGATAAGGTCAATGTGGAGCATGTCAATCATTTAAACACACATTTATTACTCTCACTTTAACCCATTTGAGTAGTAATACAAACCGTCTGTTAGCTACAGTACTGCCATAGGCCATCTCCCATTTTACATCTCAGATGGCAAAACCACTTGTTCCTGATATGCACCAACAAAACACACCTTACCTTACCAAATGTGAAAGTTCACCAAAAAAACACAGATTACAGTTAACATATAGAATGACACTGTTATTTTTTATGGTTGAGAAAGTTAAACAAAAGTCTATCAAGACAATATTTATGATCTGTGTTGCGTTAAAATTAAAAATGAAGACTTAAGATACATAAAGGTAGAGTTACTTACCTGTTAAGGCTACAGACATTGGTGTAGTGTCTTCATCTACTGAATATCTAAATCAGTAATCTGGTGATTTGAGAACCTTGTTTTGTGATGCAAATAAGGAATTCCCAAACACTGCAGGTCTTTGCTGTTATCCACAAACACAAAACTTTGTGAAACACTGTCAGTGCTAACATTTTCTAAAACCACCAATTAAATTCCAAACTGCCTTGAAAGTTTGAATATAAAGCAGAGAGAGGGAGTTAAAAAGAACAGACTTTAGGAAATAGTCTTTGATGAGTTTCACTACCGTGTTTCCCCGAAAATAAGACACTGTCTTATATTTTTTTTGCCCCCAAAAACTACACTAGGTCTTATTTTCAGGGGATGTCTTATTTTTTTTTTTAATGTGCAACAAAATGTACAACAATCTAAAGTTATTCATGTACAACAATCCAAAGTTATCTGGTATCACTCCGCCTGTCACAGTAACTGGGGCTATAGAGGAATATCGGCTAATGTGGCTCTGCTCCCTCCGCCGACGCCGCAGCCTTGGTTTCAACAGCGCTGGCTTCCTTTGTCACCAGGGACAGTGGTACCAGCGGTGCAGCAGTGGGGACATCAGACAGTGGACAGAGCGGTAAAGTGCCTTCAGGGGGACAGCAGTTGGTGAAGTATGGTACTGGAGTGCTCCCTGTCACTGCGCTGTCTAGAGGGAGTCCCCTGTCATCCCCTTAATACAGTATGTCCCTGGAGGCTGATACCATCTCTCCTGCAAGTTCCCCCTCACATGCTACCACCAAACTAGGTCTTATTTTCGGGGTAGGTCTTATATTACAGGAATCTTGAAAAATAGTGCTAGGTCTTACTTTCGGGGTAGGTCTTATTTTTGGGGAAACAGGGTAGATCTAGCTGTGCTAGTATACAGAGAAAACCCAGATAAAGTTAAAATGACTGAACCATTTGGTTTCACTTGTTATGTTTAAAATAGTATTAAACTCTCAAATATTTTTTTCAATAATGAATCAAGGTCAAATAAATATACATTGCCCAGGAAAGTATTTCTTGACATTTTTGCCAAAGTAGTTACAGTCATCTTGTTTCCAAACAGCTGGCTCCAACTCTCTCTGCTCTTCTTTACTGAACTTCCTGTTCAGTACAAGATCTAAAGGGACAGAGCAGTCTTCTACTAACTTGGAGAAGGGAAGAGGGAGGAACAGAGAGCAGGGGAGTGGCTTGCCTTGCTGTGCCTGTGCGTTTGTGAAGACAGACACACAGCTTACCAGCTGGGTGGCTAGTAAGGGCTTTGCAAGGATATGGAGCCACCATAAATAGAAAATTGAGGTCAGTGCTCAGGGGACCAGCTGATTCTGCAGGAAACTAAATATTTTACACATCAAGGAACAGCATCTATTGTAAATGATTTAATCATCATTTGACTTTAATATAAATAATACATTTTCTAGCATTAACAAGGTTATTCACTAAAGGTTAAAGAGTTTGGAGAAGGCAGGAGAAGTGAACAATCTAGGCCAAAATAGCTGATTTGGAAAAATTCTCCAATTCAGCTCACTTTCCAGTTTAGCTATATTGTCCTATATTGTTCACTTCTCCTGCCTTCTCCAAACTCTTTACCCTTTGTTGAATAACTCTGTAAATACCTGTTTTTTTGTGAAACTGATTGACCTGGTATTCAGATGCAACTGCAAATAACCTGTAAAACAACCAAAGCATACTGTTACAGCATTTACTATGCGATACACGAATGGGACAAAAGACCCAATAGCCGGACAGCAGCCGAAGGCAGCCAAGCGGCTCAGCCAAGCCAAAGTCATATGCTTCAGCTCCACTGAGCCGAAGTGACACCCGAAGCGTGGAGAACGGTCAGCCAAAGCCGACCAATCTTCATAAAAATGACAGCTGGGTGGAGCCAGCTGTGATCTCGTGGCTCGCTCCGACCAGTTACAATGACAGACCAGCATCCCCAATGCTGATCTGTCATTAAACGCTGATCTGTCATTAAACAATAACAACTGGGGGGAGCCGGTCGTGACGCCACGGCCGGCTCCGCCCACTTCTTATTCATTGGCTGGGACCTGCTAGAAGACTGTGGCAGGTGCTGGTCAATAGGAAACAGTTGTGCGGAGCTAGCTGTCACTGGTAGCTCCACCCAATTGTTTTTTTTTGCCGGCATCTATCACGTACCTGGTGGGGAGCTTCTGTATTTTTTATTATTTTAATTTTTTCCTTTAAAATATTGTCATTTATTTGTTTCTTTTTTTGCATTTTTCAAATATTTTTAAACTTTTTTTTTTCATTCTTTTCACTTATTTTTTATTCTGCTTCGATACCTCGGAGGTACTGAGCAGAATAGCCGAGCTGAATGCCACTCAGCGGCATTTGGCTTTTCACTCACTGCCGTTCGGCCCCTATGAGGATGGGGCGAACGGCAGTGAGTGAGCTGCCGGAGCTTCGGCTCAGCCGATCCATATGTTGGATCGACTGAGTTGAACTCCTTCATGTTCAGCTGACCGAAGTTCAGCCCAAGGCAGCCGATGTATGGCTAAAATCATTCATACAAGACTGAAGTGAATAACCGAACAGCGTTCGGCTCACTTCACTTCGGTTGGGTTATTCACTCGGCTGCCTTTGGCAGCTTTGTGAATAACCCCCTAAGGAAAAAAAAGAAGCTTTTCACTATCAAAGGGGATTCCATGAGTAGCACACATGCCAGGGTCCAATGCAAATTGCCTATTGTGCAGATTTGCATGCTTACCTTGGCTACAGATGTGCGCGTACATGTTTTGATATGATTCAACTCATGAATGCATGTTGTAATGATAAATTTGCATACTTACACTACCTTATTGTTACCAATAGTTTCTTTGGGGAGTTGCCCTTTTGTAGGTCTTGCATTTTTCATAGTGAGCAGTCCTAATTCCTCTCACAGACTACAGTAGTCCTGGATTTAAAAGAGTTTTTAAGCAATGATTTCTCTACTATATGAGTAATCAGTGGCATTGGCAGCAGAAGACATACATTTATAAATATGTTTATTTGTAGAAGGCACATTTTTGACCAATTTGATTTTATAGATATTTGCTTGAACCTTTTTTATGTGTGCTACAGATACACATCAAGATAAGACAAGCCCCAGTTCCCATCTCATCTGGCTTCCAATCGCAGTACACTGAGCATGAACCTGGACATAGTCACAACAAAGCACTGTAGGTTAATCACCAGTAATATAAGGCTGGTTTATGTTCTCTAATCTCACTGATTGAAATTAAAGCTGAATAAGAGGGCAGAACAAAACAGTGAGTTTAGATTTACACTTAATGGTTCTGCTTACCTTACTTAATTATTTGCTCTTGAAAGTTTTATTAGATTATAGTGTAGTTGATAACTAATTATGGATCATTTCTAAAGACAGCTTTTAAACAGCCAATAAAAATAACTTACATGTTTGATTCAATTTTCAAGAGTTTATACTGAAAAAGTATGTAAATGTTTTTGAAACTTTTTATAATGTATTGTAGGTAGCACAAAAAGACAGCATTGCACTTCTCATCTGATAGACTAGCTACTTAGTTTCACAAGTAAGATTATCTGGTTGGAAAGAATATTGGTAGGGTGTGCTTTGGATTCCTTTTGAGTCATCTTTCATATTATTTATTATTGGTATTTATATAGCACCAACAATATACACAGCACGGTACACAGTCACATCAGTCCCTGCCCTCATGGAGTTTACAATCTAAGGTCCCTATATCACATGCATACATACAGGGGCCAATTAACCTATCAGCATGTCTTTTGAGTGTGGGAGGAAACTGGAGTACCAGGAGGAAATTCACACAAGCACAGGGAGAACATGCAAACTCCTTGTAGAGCAGAAGTGCTAACCACTATGCCACTGAAAATGCTCTGATCTCTTTGTGATTAGAGATGAATTGCCCAAGATTGTCCCATAGTGGATGTGTACCAAATAATTATAATTTCCTGCTACACAACACACCTATGTCCAGGAATGCTTACTCATAATCTGTGGTTCACCATTTACTGGATGCTGCTAAATCCTGTATTCCTGGCCTTTGGAAGAGCCCCTCTCCCCCTACAGCAGGGGTGTCGAACTCAAATACACAGTGGGCCAAAACTTAAAAAATGCTCCAAGTCGAGGGCCGGGCTGGTTCTGTGTTTATTGAAAACAAATTGAACACACAGTATAATATGGTGGGAAAACTAAAATTGGAGACGGAAGCGCCACTACCTGGCGCAATAAATGTGGTAGAGCAGGGTATAAGCGTAAGTGATGTCCTCACCTATGGCTGGGTGAGCATTCGCTTCCTCGCAGCCCGGCGGGGCTGTGTCCGTTGGGAGCTTACTTTGGAAGCCTGTAATAAGGGTGTTGCGGCACGAGCCGTAAAGGGTAGGTCCGATGCTGAGGTGACAGAGGGGGTGGAGTCCGGTGTCCAGGAGCGGTTGCTCGAAGAGTGTCCGTGGGGAGGTGGAGTGTTGAAAACACTCAGAAAGTTCGGTGAGACCGGGTTGGGCTGGCGGTGACACGTTTCGAAGGTGAAACCTTCTTTATCAAGCCAGTATGAAGGTTCCCACTACTGCTCCACTCCATCCGCTCCACCTCACCCCACGGACACTCTACAAGCGAATGCTCACCCAGCCATAGGTGAGTTCATCACTTACGCTTATACCCTGCTCTACCGCATTTATTGCGCCACATAGTGGTGCTTCCATCTCCAATTTTTGTTTTCCTACAATACACTTGTTGGACACCCCAGTCCAAACACAACGGAAGCCGCACACCTGCAGATTAAACCCCACCCCCCCTTCATAAAATTTCTAAACTTCCTCTTGTTTCCCCCACCTCTGACAAGCGCTACACTTGGGGTGAAACTCTTTCAATTTTCCAGTATAATACGGTGGCCTATACACTATATCGCACAGTATCATACGGCGGCCTATACAGTATATCATACAGTATAATACCGTGGTCTATACAGTATATCACACCATATAATATGGTGGCCTATACAGTATATCACACAGTATTGTACCGTGGTCTATACAGTATAATAGGGTGGCCTATACATTATATCACACAGTATAATACAGCAGCATATACAGTATATCACACGGTATAATATGGTGGCCTATACAGTATATCATACGGTATAATAACAAAGCCTGTACATTTAATTATTAATCCAAGCGACGCGCCACATACTATGGAGTAACGAACAGCCATCGTACTGACTAACTCTACGCCATCGTACTGACTAACTCTAACGCCTAAAAGCCAAAAACAGACATTAAATAGTACAGTGCATTTACAACAAAAGAATTTACTTACAAAAAAAGTTTTTCCATCTGGTGCCCGCTTCTGTAGATTCTTCCCCTGCTTTCTCTCCTCATTAGCTCTTCATCCCTGCTCTGAGGTCTGGCAAGGCAGGGAAAGCCGCAGGGCACTTCTAGCTTAAAAGATGGCCGCCGGTGGCCATCTTTATGACACAGGAATGATGCGGCAGACCTGCGCCCAAGCGGAGGGGATGACAATCCTGGGGACACTTGGAGCTTTCAGTAGAACACCGGCCTTTGGGACACAATCTGTGTCGGCTGCCTGGCGCCCATTTTGCCATGGCACCCTGTGCGGCCGCACACCCCAAAGGCTGGCCCTGGCTGTATGAGTGATTGATGCTGATGCCGCCCACAATCCTGAATATGATTGGAATCGAGCGGCAGACATATTTAGCAGGGGGGCACACTGGGGGGGGGTGCCTATGCGCACTAGCAGTGCATTGTTGGACTTGCAGTTCTAATAGTGTGGGCAATATACCAGCGGGCCAGATCTAATAATAATTGAATATTGTCATGCGGGCCATACATAATTCCATTCCTTGAGTTTGACACATATGCCCTACAGTGTCTATGTGGATACGCAGAGTGGAGGAGATTAGGGAAATGGAAGACCTGATTTTGTCCTCCCAAGGCAGGCAGGAGCAATATTCTCGGACTTGGTTTTGGTGGATGGAGTACATGGAATCTTCTGAAGGCCGGGCCTCATCCATATAGTCTCTCTCCAGCTGGTAGGTGACTGGGGTTTGCTCCACTGGCGACCCTATGGGGAATCTCTCGTATTCCAATGACCACTCTTTCTTCCTACTTACCTGCCGGTACTCTCCCCCCCCCCGACTCTAAGGGTGAGTGGGTGGATCCATTGGTTTACCCACCACTGATTATCAAAACTATTACTTATCATACTTCGGACGACCCAACATTGTATTGGGTTATCCCTTTTTGTTTTTCCTTTCCCCCCCTCTCTTTCACATATATATTAGGACCTATATGATGTATGCTTGACTCATTCAAAATACCCTGATTCTGCCTACTATATTACATTGCTACAGTCAGGTCTTTTGCTGGTTAATTGGCTGCGACAACTGGATCTAGATATATCTCTTCTGTTTTAGATCTGTATGTCCTCATTTACCTATTTTGCATATGCTATGTTTATACTGTAAGATTTCGATTTATAAATAAAGAATAAAAAAAAAATTATATGTGCCTTGTCCAAGCTACTTGTTCACATTTGTTTTTCAGAAAAAAAAAGTTATAATGATGCATAAGTTCACTGGGTGGATCAGTCTGCCTGGCAGGGAAAATGTTCAATCAGCCCCATTTGCTGAATGTCTGGAATTGGGTAAACCCATTAGATTAACAATACTTCTGATACTTTAGCATGTTGCAGCTTATTATTTTAGTTTTTTCACAAAATAAGTTGTATTAAAAGGTGTCTGTTTACCTCAACCCCTTCATTATCTTGACATGAAAACTCAGATAATATGTTTAGGAGGACACCTGTATTCAAAACACAAATGAAAAACAGAAAGGATAGGAAATTTAAGTCAGTAACTAACTGCATGCTTAAATGTCAGGGTGTAAGTGTTGGTGAAGAGAGTCCAGGTTTTGAGCATTGGGAGAGCATCTTCTCCAAGTAAACTATATTGTCAAAGCCCCTTTATTCATATAACTGTAACGACTGCCTTGATATAAAAATAATATACCACAAAGAATCTGGAGCCACTGTCCTGGATTTTGAAAGGAAGACATTAACAGGATGATTTATAAATTA